GCAAGCCTGCAAAAGTGCAGAAAAAAAGAAACAAAAAGAAAAAGAAGATCAGGGAGAGGACAAAAAGAAGTCATACAAGCCTGCAGAAGTGGAGCCTGAGGAAGAAGAGCTGGAACAGGAGACTATACTCCCACAGAGAAAACGACAGAGGACGTGCAAAACCAAAGTGCCGACTATGGATGAAGCCAAGCTGCAGGCAGTCAAGTCATACCTAGCAACCATTGGATGCACCTGGCTTGGGTGCCAGACTTATCACTCCAGGTTCCATGTGACACGGTCCAAGTGCAACCAGTACCAAAGTTTTCAGAGGAAGCTGCTGGAGTTTGAGGACCTGGGCTGGAACGGCCGAAGCGAACCGCGAAGCGTCTGGAGACTCGACAGGAACTGAAGGAATTAGACCATATTAGACCAGGAAAATAACCAAAAATAGTGATTTTCATAACTGTTTAGCAAAACCCTAAATTTTAAGAAATGGCCTCAAACCTCTTCAAACATCAATGGAAGACAGGAACTGAAGGAATATGACCAGGAAAATAACTCAGAATTAAAAATTAACTAGCTACTTTTGGTTAACTTTTTCTTCTCTCCCCCTGTCTCTGTGTCTCTTCCCTTATTGGGACATGGTGGGAGCGGGGGCCGGTCCCAGAAGAGCGCCGTTCGACTCTTCGGACTCGGCACCGAAGGAGTGACCGGTCGTGGCGCCCCCACGACCGGTCACTTCTTGAGACCGGTCACTCGGCACCGTCGTCGTCGTCGTCGCCCCGGGTTGGACCTATCGGCCGGCGCTTGATGCCGTGCGGGTGCGGTGGAAGTTCCGGATGGGCTCCAGGGGAGTGATGAGTATTGGGGATTTGTAACCACCCAGGGTCGTGGTGCGGACGACGACGCCGAGGACGACAAGTGCTGAAGGGGGCAAAGGAAGAGTAGTAGGAGTATCAGCTAGATGATGCTGAAGGACATTTGGCATGTGCACTGTTGTCGTATCTGTGAAGAGGAAGAGGAACGAAGACGCAGCATGGCAGCGAAGCCTTGAAGGTCTAGCTAAAGCGGGGTTTGACCTCACAGCAAGCCTGCGAGCATGCGGACACACGAGCCCCAGTGACTGCGTCAGCGCGTCAGCACCGAGTTCGCCGTTCGGATTCATCAACACCAGACGAAGTTCCTTGAGCCAGATCCATGCACAAGTTGCCGCAATCCTGAAAAGGGATGAGGAGATGAGGAGAGGAGAGGAGTTGAGGCAGGAAGATGAGGAGAGGAAGAGGAGAAGCGCCGCACACGACAGGAGAGCCGTGGCCTAGGAGCTGAAGCGATGTCGGCATGTCGGCACGGTCTCCTCTCGGCACCCGCGTCCCCGTGTTGGGTGTTGGGCGCCAGCGCGTCGTCGTCCCGGAGCCGCGGGGACGAACGGACTCCCCCCGTTAAGGGAAGAGACACAGAGACAGGGGGAGAGAAGAAAAAGTTAACCAAAAGTAGCTAGTTAATTTTTAATTCTGAGTTATTTTCCTGGTCATATTCCTTCAGTTCCTGTCTTTCCTTGAGGTTTGGCGCATCGGTTACCTCTCTGTCATTTCGTTCTTCCCCCCCCCCCTGTGCTGACCGGTCCTCCCTGTGGGGTCTGAACAGGTGAGGGGAGACCAGAGCTGGTGCTATAAAATGTTAGTCTGGGGTCTTTCTAGGAACAAAACATAAAGATAGACACAAAATAATACATTATATATAGACTGTTTGTTTTTTGCTTTCGGACCTGTCGGTGTGAGGAGCCCACGTGTGTCACATGCTTGGCCTTTTTGAGAGCCTGTGGCTTCAAGATGGAAGATCTCCAAACAGCCGTCAACAGGGCAGAAAGTGAACACATTTTACGACCACAGGTGGAAACAATGCAGGATGTTCATGCTGAGTGGCTGCGAGCCAGGGAGCCAATGGAATTCCAGCCATTGCCCAACCATTTGAGTCCGGACAAACCTCCCGAGGAAACATGTTTGGCTCTTGTGGTTTACGATCCCAAAGTGGCAGCAGCAGCTCAGACAGAGCAAAGCCCAGGCCCTGAGAAGAGAGAAGATCCTTTCGGTTATGTGAGGGAGTTTTCCTTCCTGCAAATTCTACCAGTTGGCTCTTATGACAAGCGTGTCCCCATTCGATGTTTGCTTTGTCGCTCTGCTAAGCAACCAGAGGGCAAGGTTTACGAATGTTCTTCTATCAAGTACAAGATGATCAAACATTTCACAGTGCAGCATTGCAGCAGTGCCACCCACCTGGCAGCCGTTGCCAGACAATTTCGGAGATCCGATCAAGATGATGAAGACGATGCAAAGGGTCAGCCTGTGCCTGTGGAAGCTGGTGATCATGACCTCGTTGTGCGCGAAGGCATCAGCCTCACCAAAGTTGACAAATTTTCAGCCCTGAAAGACGTCCTTGTGCATTGGGCTAGGGTGACCAAGGCGCCTACACAGAAGCACTCCTACAAATTTGTGATTGCCACAGAGGAGCTGATTATGCATCATGAGAAATGCGAGAAGCTGGTCGTTCGTCCTGCAGAAGGATGCAGAGCAGTGTGTACCAAATGCGAGGATCCACAGATGTGTGCTCCATCTTTGAAATCTGCTTTGCGTTTCGGATGCAAGTACTGGGGTGCATTGCTTTTGCATGCCAGACTTTTCAAGGGCACAGAGGCTGGAAAGGGGTTATATAAGCATGCACCTGTTGTTGCATGTTCTTGCTCTTTGTTGTCTTATGTTTTCTTAATTCCCAGTTGTCGCCCTCATGCAGTCTTCGGAGCCACTGTTATGTTTGACCTGCGCGCTCGGGACAGGCCGCAAACAGTGTGGAGAAGCAAATCCGCGATTCAAGCCTCTTCACAGTCCAGAGGACCTTGCTTGAGAAGATGATTGCCATGAACAACAGCAATTTGCATCTGGGAATATCTGGGATGTTCTGGGATATTCTGGGATCATTTTGGTATATCTGGGCATACTTGGGCCTTACTTGGGGTTACTTGGGAATACTTGGGATAATGTCGTATTTCTTGGGAAGAGAGTTTATCAAATGTTTTCTCAGTCTATTTTCTAGATTCCACCTGTTAAGATTTGTTTTTGGTATTTTTTGGTTGCATTTTATAGAAGTGAACTGGCTGATTCAGGCAACTTGCAACACAGTGGAATTCACAACATAGTTTTATAGAATGTTTTCTCTAGCCTGTGTCCTAGATTCCACCTGAAAAGATTCTTTTTACATTTTATAAACATGGCGCGCCTGACTCAGGCAAATTTGGAATCGCCAACGGTGGGCTAGGTTGCCGAAGGCTAATTGCACAGAGCAACTTGTGCAATTCATTAACAGCACTGTCACACCATCATTGACAGTGAACATTGCTGATTGCACCGGAGAGCTCCAGCACTGCACAGCTCAGTTCACTTCCCTCTTGGCAGGTGGTGGTCTTTCTGAGATGGGGACTCTCGCAGCGCGCATCATGAAATATGCAGCGAGCGGAAAGCTGCAGGACCACCCCGCAACCCTGGGGCTGATGTTCCAATGTGTGGACATGCTGGAAAGGCAAGAAAAAGGCAATGAGACATTGCGGACCAGGAGAAAGATCTCAGATTCGCAGCTGGCAGTAGTAGAAGAGTCGGCCTTGCTGCTAGCCGCCAATGGCTGCAACAAAGAGATCATGAAGACTTTCGGGTTCAGCCGGGCATCAACCCTTCGCATGCAAACCCAAGTGGACCAATTGCATCAGCAGTCTCTTCCTTGTCCAGCTCTCTCCATTGTCTTTGACTCTGTCTTGGAACACAACCTAGCAATCATCGACAGTTGTCTCAAACGTGAAGAGGGTCAAAAGCACTTCAATGGCCATTTACTGTAGATTTTTGAGTTCTTTGTTGCGCCAATTGAAACCTTCCCCCCCTATAAGCCAAGTGCATATGGCTATAATTGCAAGACCTGGTTTGGGGTTAGGGTCACCAACCCAATCCAACCCAATATATTGCAAAAAAATATCAGCCAACAGTTTCTATCTGAGGCGACGGTTGGTTCTGTGCTTTGATTGCACATACCTGGTGCAGATGATATGCACCATGAAGTTGAATCATAAACAGGGTGCAGTTGGCTGTAGCTTTCAGCTGGATGACATGGGGTGCAGCAACCCGATCAGCTTCCAATCAGTTGCACCAGGGAGAACAGTGTGCCATTCTCCCAAGGCGAACCGGATGTGGCTTGCTACACCATGTGAAAACAACTCTTTTTTTGGATTCAATTCATTCATTTATATTCCTTTCATTTCCTTTGGCTTTCTGACTTGCAGCTACTTGCTGTAATTGTTTTTTTCCAAACAAGCTGTGGGTTTCACTGTTTCACTAGTTAGTTTTATAGAATGTTTTTTCTCGTCTGTTTGTTAGACTCCACTTGTCAAGGTTTTTGCTGTTTACATGTTATAAACCACTACAGGGTTCGCAACCAGGTGCTCGATATCAACTGCTCCAGTGAAGCACATCAGGTCCAGATTTTGTTTAGTAAATCTGAAGCTCCAAGGCTGTAGGGGGAGACGGCCTCAGTGTCTGAGGTTTGAGACCCTTCTTTGGGATCCTTGCGGCCTGCACCAGCAAGCAATGAGTCCAATGTCTGTGCCCCTCGCTCTCAAGAGCTTTGCTTCTGATCACACCAACAGCACGTGGGCCACTTTCTTGCATGGCATTGTTAAATTTTGTGGTTCTTTGTGTGTCATCGTTTTTGGAGGCTACAAAGCTCCTTGTCAATTTATAAAATGTTGGTTTATATATATATTATCTTCAATTAGATTTTTGATTTGGGTTTAACATTCCATACAGACTGAGAGAGCATTTCTGTAAGAGCTAATGAGGCTGTTCTTCTCATTTATGAAATGCAGGCTTATATATATACTATGTCACATCAACTTTTGATTTGGGTTTAACATTCCATACAGACTGTCATGGGATCAAGAACTGAAAATCTTTGATCAGGAGATGTTGAGACTTATTGATGCTTTCATGGACCGGGCAAGCGACTATGTCACGGCCTTGATCTTCGACGGTGAAACATGCCACCAGCTGATCAAACAATGTGTGCATGGGAACTTGGACAGAGTTTCACGGTTGAAACTGGCTGAGCTTGTGTATTTCAAGGACGTGCAGTATTCAGAGATCCCTGGAACTGACTTGTTGCCCCGATGCCCAATGAAGATCTGCAAGGTCAAAGGCCAGCCATTGTTTGCAATCACAGGACCAGCTCATTCCGTAAAAAATGCAGCATCTCAGCTCATGAGTGCAACCAAAGTGCTGTACTATGGGAACTTTGCCGCCGACCCAACACCGATGCTGGAGCATGACCTACCGCTTCCTGCGTATGTGAGGAAAGATGCAATGTCGGACAGGTTGACAAGCCTGCTCAGCAATCCTTTTTTCATGATCAGCAGCAGTGCGCCCTGGCAATAGATAAAACTATATCAAACTGTAGAAATATGTGGAATGATGTGGAATGTAGGTGAGTGTATGTGAGTATATGTGAGTGTAGATATTGTCTTCCAGGGTTTCTTTCCCTGTGTAGCTTTAGTGGTGTCATTGTCATTGCAGGTTTGCTGTTCTCCTCACTGAGGAGACCTCCACGAGTGTGTCCATCGCAGACAATATGAAAGGCATGCTTTTGTGGAACATCACTTCAGCATTGTGTGTGGCGCCCTTGGTTCACTCCAAGATGACTCTAGAGGACAGGGCCGAATGCGCCATCTCCGGATTCGTTCTCCAGGACCTTTGGTCGATGATTGCGACTCAACGTGAAAAGAGTTTCAGGTGCCCTAAAGGAAAGATGCAAATGGCAGGCCAAACAAAGAGCAACATGCAACAGATAGCATTGACCACACTGGCTATCTTGACTTGCAGATCTCCTTTTTGGTATCCTTGGAACAGTTCGCATTCCTTGTCCGAAATTCGAATCGAGCACCACTTTGGGCGGCTGCGATCGCAGTTTGCGAGTGGCACCATGACTACAAGAGACTTCTTCAATGCAGCGGCTCGTCTGATGCGAATGCTGCCTAACAAGTGCCAAAAGCCTTCCTCCTCTGATGTTTTGAAGAATATGAAGATTCTGGAGGCTACAAAGCTCCTTGTCACAACTTTTTGAAGTGAACCCTGTTTATGAAATGTGTGTTTAGATATATTATGTTTCACAAATAATTTTTGTGTTGAGATTAACATTCCATACAGACTGAGAGAGCATTTCTGTAAGAGCTGATGGGGCTGTTCTTCTTCTGCAAGTGCAGAAATGCAGTTATGAAATGTATTCCGGTGCTTCTTTGAACTGGGTTGATTCCTGGGCACGGAGGTTTTGCATTTTATAGTCATTTTATAGTGTCTGCTCAGGATGCAGTCACTGACGCAAAAGGCCATTGCAGCTGCGATCCACTTGGTTTCTCGTTGCAGTGACTATCCAGTGCAAAAGCTTGAGCAGATGTACCACGTACAATGTGCCAGTGCAGCCTTTGATGACATGGAGAAAGAAGGTGAGGATGAGCAGTTGGAGAATGGGGGCGACCAGGAGCACGAAGCTGAGGATGCAGATGCTGTGAAGCCAATCCTGGATGAAATCATGAAGGTTGCAGCTGAGGAGACCGCTGACAACAACAAAGAAAGTGAAGAGAATGAGCCTGCGGATCGTGACCCAGACTGCGCTTTGCCGGACAGTGAGGAGCTTATTGCATTGACCTCTTCATGTCCTGAGCCAGCAAACAATGCTGTATTGGATGGTGCAAAGACCTTTCCCAAGAACCTCCGCGAAGCTGTGGCAGATTCGCAGGGCCTGTGGTCGGGTCTGTGGGGCCTAGCTGTGCATTTGCGATGTGGTAAACATGGGCTAGATGGTAAGTTCCTCAAAAAGGGTGAGGTTGTCAGGCACCGCTCGCGGCACTTGAACTGGAACCAGTGTCCTTCCTTTGCGAGAGTCGTAATTGTTATGATCTATTTTTCAACCATGTTCAACCCTTTAACTTTCCCATGCAACATCATGCAACCATACAAACCCATACAAACCTGATACCTGTTGCTACAAAGCTGGGCTTTCTCTAAGGTGCCTCGAGCAAGAGCTCAAAGCAGTGCAGGAAGCTGAGGGCGAAGCAAGGGCAGGTCAGAGGGGTTCAAGACTATCGAAATGGATTGAGTCAACAGCAGATGCCAGGAAGAACACCAAACTCAACTATCCAGAAAAGTTGAAGAATCTTGGATCAATAGAGCCTGTTAAGTTAAGACAGCTGCTGGAGGTGGGGCAGGGCAGCAGAGCTGAGCCAACAGTTTTGGTGTTTTTATGTGTCGTATTGTGTGGTTGTGTTTGAGGATTGGCAACGTTGTTGTCTTGAACAGAGCGCACGGGGAGCCACTGGTTGCTGCCTTGATTTTGACATTGTGGCCGCATGGCAAGAAGCCAAATCCATGTGCTCAGGAGGCGCCCGAAAATACGCATTCATATGCAGTCGTACAATGTCATACACATACATATATATATGTTCTTATAAAATGTGATCTCTACTTGTTTGTAGAATACGCATTGCCAAACTGTAGGAAGAACACATTTTATATAACACTGGCTTGGCACACTGTGTAGAGAGAGAAAGAGGAAGGCAGCACTCAACAATGCTCAGCACAGCAGCTGGATATAAGAATGTTAGAGGACAGTTTTTTTTTGGAATGCACTTTTTTGCTTTGTTTCCAGTGCCTTGTGTGCAAGGTGCCACTATCTGCTGTGAAGACGTTTCGAGCCACAATCTTGGAGCAACAGGACGGTCATGTATTTGTGACTACTACTACAACCTGGCTATACACAGTCTTCCATGTGGTGGGGATCTTGGATGTGGAGGATGTCACTGGCAAGAAGATCTTGCTGTCTTCCGAGTCTGTGGAGGCTTTTGCAAGGCTGTCTGCCCAAGACTTTGAGGAGCCTGTGGAAAATAAGAAGAGGAAGAGCGAAACGCAGCAGGTCTGGGAATGCAAATATATATAAATGTCACAGTATGCCGCGATGTGTTGTTATGAAATAGTTGTTGGATTCTGTATGAACCTGCTGAGTCCGATTTCCTGTCCAGAACGCACAGAGTCAACATTTTATAACACAAGATTGTTTCAGGTAATTTCAGGTACATTCTGGTAACATTTCACAACTACAGTCTGGATGTTTATTAAATGTATTGCCCAACCCAGGTTTGTTCCATCCTCCATCAAATTGATTTGGATACATTTTATAAATGGAAGTTCTCTTGCATGCCCCCTGTTTGCAGGTGACTTTCGCACATGCAAAGGCGCAGCTGAAAAGGGCAGGGCGGATTGGGACAAGCAAGAAGAAGGTCTTGCAGGAGCTTGATGTCCAGGCTTGCGACATCAAGCGCAGTGATGCTGGCCGCAAAGCAATCCGCAGGATCCTTCTCCGTGTAGCAGAGCTGGACTTGGTGCACTGGCCTGACTCTCCTTGCTTTGAAAAAACGAATCAGCTGCTTGGAAAAGCAGAGCCTTTTTTTTTGGGGGGGGGGTTTGGGGCCTTTGTATGGTGCTTGATGGTGTCTGTATGTCCTTCTCCAGTGGGTGTCTCAGGACATGCACATTGAAAAAGTGTTCTGAGATCACCTGGGACAACTTTATCAAGAATATTCCGTTCTTCTTCCAGTTCAAGTACTTCGGCTTGAGGAATTCGCACCAATATGGACAACGTGTCGGATCTGATTTGCAGGCCATTATGAAGGCTTTGAAAGCCAAACCTCCGAACAGGAAGCCATACCAGAGCCTCATCCAGGAGTTTGTGGAATCCAAAGTGGGAGGCCATGTGTCTATGCAGTGATCACATCGTCAGAGATTGTACAGTTTCAAATGTAGGTTTGGCATGGTTTGGCCAAGGACAGGCAAAGGCTCCTAGAGAAGAGTCGCATGCAGTCACACCTGTGGACATGTTGAATGTTTATGTTTGATTATGTTTGAATATTTTTGTTTTTTTCATGAGTGTTCCTTCTGCCTGATGTGGGTTTGGCCATGGGTACCTGAATCTGAAGGATTCAGGCAACAATGCCAAGATATGCCAATTAAAACAGCAGAAAGGATGTAGACAAAGACAACAGCCGTCAGAAAGACGATTTGCCAAAAAAAAGAGGGCTGCATAGGGCCGCTGAGCGTGTTTGGAAGTGGGTCAATGCATTTTATTCAAACTACATTCCTTAATGTTTGAGTGTTTTCGCAGTGGGTCAATACGTTCTATAAGCAGCGGGCTGCGCTATGCTGAATTTGGGGTGTAGTGTTTTGACATTCTATAAATCCAGCAGTTTGACATTTTATAGTGCATTTTAGGTGGTTTTACATTTTATATCACTAATTATTTATGAAATGAAAATCCACAGCCAGCTCCTCAATCAAGGGGGATATTGTTTTACTTTTTAATTGGGCTATATATGTAGCTGTTATGAGTTTCAGTGAATTTCATATGTCATCATTAATATCAAACATGTGGTGCACTTCAAGATATTTTATCAGCAACATCAACGTAAAAGTCATAACTTAAAGGATTTTCTTTATCAACATGTGTTTCCGGTATCATCATCACTGATGTTTGTATGATTGACGAAATGAAAGGTGAATTGATCTTGCATATCTCGTTTTACCTTTATTGATTTTCTACAGCCAATGTGTTATTTTCATTTCTTCAGGATGATGTAATACTTTTTAAATGGATATATATATATATATATGATCTATTTCTGTTGCTTTGCCTGACGTCAGGCATGACGGCCGTCATGAAGTCATCATGACAGGCCTTCAGGGTCAAGACGTTAATGCAAAAATAACAGGACAATAGAGGAGGTGAGGAGGCCCTCATGTTCCAAACCCGTTTGAAGCAGGTTGCTGTATTAAAACGATGGAGGGTGCCAGATTCTTGCGTATGTTTTTGGGGTTCTACCCCAACAATATTCGAGGAATTTGTGATCTATCTGGTGTATGAGTAATGTGGCGGGGAAGATTTGAGCAAACCGTGTTGCATCAGTAGCTGAATGGCTAGGAGCCAACCCCTGTGAATTTTTTTCCCTTGGCAACCTGCCGCTTCATTTTCATCCCCCTCCTCATCGTCACTCGCCGTCGCCATCCTCATCATCACCGTCACCTTTGGTTGGAGCACAGCGCGCCCCTCGCAAACCCTCGGCCTTTCAGCTGCGCCAGGAAGCGCAGCTGCAGGCTGAAGCAGCCCTGGAGGCCCTCAAGCGTGAGCACGAGGAGGTCATTGCTGCAGGGGGAGAAGTGCGTGCAGTGCGTGTGTGTTGTCGTCCTTCATAAACCAGACCAGTGGTGTGCTGGCATTGGTCATTTCATGTCCAACCAATCCTAGCGGGGGACCTCGGGGCTCCTATTCCACTCATCGCTGCCACGTTTGCGAACCAAAACCATCCATTTCAGTAATCCGGTGCGACAGGCATTTTGGCCACGTCCCGATACATGAACCTCAGGATCGGGTTCGGGTTCGAATCCCCGGATCAGAGGACCGGCATGGTCGCGCAAGATCGCGACGACTAGGCGATGATGATGACCAGTGTGCAATGCATCCAATCTCTGTAGCCAGGACAACATACACATGAGAGAGAGATAGAGATAGAGAAGGTGAGGTGAGGTGAGGTGAGACATTGAGACCACGTGAGAGAAAGAAAGGGAGCGTTTCTTGACCCCACGGAGAGTTCATCGAATCAGTGACCAACCTGTCCAGGTCTTAAGGGCCCGAGACGCGGAGCACGAGAAGCAGCGACGGCACTTGGAATCCTTGCAGGAGAACGGGGGGGCTGCTCCCTGCGCGTGGTTTCTGTCAAAGAAGTGCTTCAGGTCGTATTCCTACATCATAATTTAGGCTGAAAGGAGTATGCTTTGTGTACATCTCCTGGTCTTTTTCCAACGTGGTGAAGTCTGAAAGCTCGCGAAGGTTGTCCAACTTGCTGAAAGGGTTCAGAACTCACCCTGCGAACGACTTGACGAACCTCGAGTGAGCATCTTCGAATTCTCGAGAGGCGCCACTACTTAGTCCAAGAGATTCCCCGGTACAGGGAGCTCCCAATCCTAAATAAAATAGAACAGTAATTCCATCCAGAAATGTGATGGACACCGTTTCTATTTAGTGGGGGGCGCGTCGGGGGCCACTTGCCAAGCTTTGCTCCTTCCTACCAGTTGGAGGCCATCCCTATTAGGTTGGAGGCCATCGCTCTCAGGTTGGAGGCCATGGCTATTAGGTTGGAGAAAGCTTTACTTTGTGAACCAAACTTCGCCACACCCCGCGCCCGCTTCGCCATTTGGACACTCAGTGCTCAAGCCGCGCGGGCTTGGGCTGATACCGAAGCCCTCAAGGGTGCCGTGGCATGAAGATCGCCTTGGCCCAAAAGTTCTACTCCGTAGACGGTCCGTAGATCATGGGTTTTTCTATGTGATGGTCCATTTCCATCACCTTCAGAGTTGAATTGGGCTTTGACACCACTGGATGTGTGTTGGGTGTTTGCTTGTGCTGCATCCTTGGTTCTTCTGAAATTCGGGGGTCTTATGAAATCACTAGGATGATACAAATCTAGATCTGGTTCAATATTCATTTGGTGCCAGAGGGTTGCCTTGAGGTTGGGAGTGTGAAGGTTGTGACCCTTGACCATCAAGAGGATAAACAGGTGGTTCTTCTTTGTTTGTTGACATTTTGTAGTTAAATCAGAGAGCTTGACAGGTTTTGAACGTTTTGCTTGTTCGGTCTTTGCGCCAAGCTTCAGCCAAGGAGCTATGAGGTTGCGATCCTTGGGCTGCAAAGGCTGTGAAAGCAAGGGGGTAACTTAATAACAGACTGTCAAGTCATGTTCATTTGAATGACCGAATGACCAATGGTTCTTGGCCTTCTCATGATTCATGATGAGACAAGCCCGTCAAATTGGTGAACATGGGGGAATGAGCATCCATTTGCAAGCCATCTTGCAGCATGTTTGGACCTGAGCTGAGCAGATCTGGGGTAGAAATCCGGAGGAGGCAGGTAGTGATGAACTCAGAACTCTTGAAGTACACGTGGACGGAGTGAGTTCTGCCCAGCACGTGGCCTCTGCCAAGTCCTGCACCGGGTCGCCGAAGTCAGTGTTTCGTCCCTCAAGTGAAGAGATCGAAACTGTTTTCGACACATTTTGACACCTGCAAGAGGTCAAGAATCTCTTTCTTCAACAGTTTGGATAGTTTGAGGGGCTCTTTCTTCAAGAGTTAGAGACGAGATGAGAGAGGGTCTCAGTTGATCTTTCCTGAGGCGTAGCTCTCCTTCTCTTCATAGTCGGACAAGCAGAGGAGCAGTGTCTCTTGCAGACGCGAGCGGGGCCCTCCGAGCTCCCGGCACATGTAGGGCCAACGCGCATCCCGTGCCATGGCAGATGTTTTTTGCTCCGGCCTTGGTGAGCACCAACCGAATGAACTGGCAGGAGATGTTGGTCAACCAGTTTTTAAACGTCCCAGAAAGTCCTTTTTGAGGATCAAGTCGTTGGGCAGTTTGAGAAGAAGTTCTTGGAATTATTGCTCTGGGCCGTTGGTAAGCCTCCAATGTTTGGATTCTGGTTGGGCAGGTCTCATTGGGGTTGGGGTGTGGGCAAGAAAGATGGCAACATAAGTGCCCCTCAAGCCATTGGGGTCGCCAGACGTGCGCTATTTGAATCAGACACTCAAGGACACTCAAAGACACTGAAGAATGTCCTTGAGTGTCTTTGAGTGTCCTTGAGTGTCTGGTCTATATTTTGGATAACCTTGAGTGTTTGCTCTTTTTGGATAACCGTGAGTGCTTTTGGGTGTCTGGTCTTTTTGAATGCAATGAGTGTCCTGAAGTGTCCTTGAGTGTCTGGTCTATTTCTTGGATGATCTTGAGTGTCCTTGAGCGTCCTTGGGTGTCGTCTAGTTTAGGTTTCATATATATATATAGCATTCGTGGAACTCTGGATCCTTAGGAGTACAATCTCCAACAAAAACCGGCAAACCTTCGCAGGACTTAGTGGCAAGCGTCTTTTTGATGATGCACTAGCTTTATAAGGAATTTTTGTGCCCACCCTATTTCCGCACACGCATTGTGGGGAGGGCAATGGTATTCCTGGGCGAAAGGGGCCCAAAAACAAAAGGTGAACAACGAGGCAAACAGCAAGAACGCAGTCAGAGGAACCATCGGAAGCAAGCCCAGATTGTTTTGATGCATATATGTGACTGGCTAGTTGACAAAAACGACATACATAACACACCTTTGTGGTGCAATGGGGGCAACCCACCCACGGTTTTCCTGTGCCTTGTACTCGCCGCTCTTCGGGGACATTCTTGCGCAGCCTTGCCGAAATGGCGCTCAAGTGCAATGACGTTGAGCAGGGTGGCCTTCTGTGTGCACCCAGCCACCTTTGGGTAGCAGAAACGAATACCATGATCAGGTCTGGAGACTGCTCCACCCAAAAAGATGGCACGTGACGGTTTGACGGATGGGATAACATTTGCGAACTTTTGCCGCTTAACTCCTCCATCATCCAAGTGTTCTGCATAGAAATCCACTCATTCATGTCGTTGTCACTACTACTTCTCCGGCTGACCCATGAAAGAGACAATGAACATCTGCAAGAGGCTCGCAGGATTTTCTAGTTGGCATCTACGAGCGTGGATCTGCGTAGCATCGTTTCACATCCTTAGCTCTTGCCTGCTGTTCGGCCGCAGCGTCCCCAACCTCCACATGTCATCTCGCTGGAGCAGGGTCCTGCTTTGGTTAGAAACGCTGGGGGCTGGCGGCTCCATCCAAAACAAACTTCTTTCAGACCCCGGAGGTTTGACATGCTCTCAAGTGCGCTGAAGAAGGTCACATTGTAGTTAAACACATCTGGCCGCCCAGCCCCCGAGATTTACACTCTCCGCCCCAACGTCACCTCGATCCATGCTTGGGGGCCTGTCAGTCGGCCGGCTGCGCTCAATATTTGGTACGGGGCTGCAGAGATGTTAACGTGTAGCAAAGCAGTGTGGCGCCGGTCAGCTCTCAGCTCAAGCTTAGCACGCCCGCTCAGTTTACTATGCATCCTTTTATTCTATTGCCCCTTCAAACCTAGCCTGCAGCTACCTTCTTGCTGAGGACGCCGGCCTTGCCTCGAATGATTTTTTTGCGAAGCATCTTTCTCTGTCGCAGTATTGTTGTCCGTCTGCGCTGTTTGTACCACCGGATGATGCGCCAGAGTTCCCTCTTGAAGTCTTTCGCGCTGCGGACATTGTAGTTGCCCTCTGTGTCATGTAGCTTCACGCAGAATCGCACGCAAAGCCGCGCCAAGGTTTGTCTATCTGGCACCAAGTCTGTACGCCAGCAGCATATGGCTGCCCCAAGAAATTCTGTATTTCTGTCTTCTGGCTGTTTGAAGCGCAACAACTTGTCCAGATCAAAATGTCTGTTGCGCACTGCTTCAACCAAAAAAGGCGAAAGGGCCTGAAAGGGGCTTGCGACATCTGTCTCACCATGTCCGTCACTATTATGGGCGCGTGCAACATGCCGAGAACGATACCAGCAAGTGCAACACATACAACACCCTCTGTCGCAGTCTGTCCTCAGACAATTCGCGAAAGATGTGATCAGCCGGACAGGGTCTGTGCGGCGGCGCTGGCAAACGGAGTCTAACTAACCATGAAATTCTTGTGACCTGCCAAGAACCTTGGACCGTCGCTGCTGGTTGGAGGCACAAGTCTGGCCAATGCAAGGACCTCGTGCTGTGGGTCGCCAGTGATCCTCAGTGAAGCAGGTCCAAGTGCATACCATGAATTTGGACGCGCAACATTTGAAAGAAATGAATACACTGGTGGAATCTCTGGCTGGGCAAGTCCTGCTGCTGCGCGGTGCTGTCTCCTCAGCAAGCTTTTAGCCATGATACAAGAAAGGCAGCTAAATTTGAGAACCTATAGGGGTGCGCATCAGCAAAACTTGGCCAAACTGGTTTGGATTGATTGCAAGCTATGAGATCGGCCAGGTTCTCCAAATCTGGCTTCATGTGGGTCCAGGACTCAATGGGCAGCAACTCGCACGGCTTCAATAGGCAGCCATCCAGCGGTTGAAGGGCGAGCTCCTGACAGCTGGCGGCGCTGACTTCACCGTCCTAGAACTGTGCACACAGTTGTTTGATTGGTTGAAAAAGTGATGCGTGGCCGTGCCTTTTGATGCGAGAGGCTATTTTGAAATTACCGTCTCCCTTCACTGCACTACCTGAGTACGGACAGGCGAACTTCTGGGCCTGGCGCAAGACCCCGCGCTGGGCGCGAAGTTTGGGCAGGCAAGAAAGCACGCCAAGCTGCTGTTGCGAAGTGGCCAGCCGGAGAGAATTAGATGCATAAAGGTCAAGAAGGTGGCCTTTGACGGCAGCTGCTGTTGGCGCTTCGGAGAACTTCTACACCATTTGCGCCAGCCAGCGTCGCAACACACGTTGCTTGGAGTCCAACAAAAAGGTAGCCCGCTGGCATAGGTCACGATGTACCGATGCAAGCAAAAAGGACATTCCATCCATGGTGGGCGACGTGGGCGGAGCATCGCGATGCGTGATGCCCCTAGTGACCCTAGTGGGGGGCAATATTGATATGTATGAGCAAGAATGGATATATATATATATACATACTTTTCTCAAATCACAAAAAGGCACAGGCAAATCATTCTTTGGTTCCGCCCTTCCTTGGAGCAATGGACTCGCCGGATTCATACCTATGAGCAAAGCATCATATACAGGAAACATTTTTCGAGCAACGCGGAGAATCACATCAACATGCATCAGTGGCTGTGTGCCCACACACACACACTAAGGTGCAACCGCTTGATGCCAACAGCCTTCAATCAGGAGGCTCTTGTGCTCCTGGCCGGCTAGCGGTTCAACGCGGATGGGTTCTCCACTGAAAGTTTTGCGAACAGGCAAAGGGTCACTTGACTGCAGGGGGCCCACCCAAGTAGACTTGGCTAACTCTGCTCATCAGCAGCATGCCCATCTAAGTGAGGAGGGATGACCCGGAAAAAAAGTCGACCTTTTCTGAGATTGCGTTTTTGGAGGTGGACGCATGTCTTTCCAATATCATGCAAGTCCTTCTGGCAACAGGTTTGCGCGTCTGCTCGGGTCGCTGTCGCGGTAAAGTCGTTCTGCGCCCGCTGCAGTGGAAGAACATCTGCCATGGCTACATTTCTACGCTTTAAGATGGAAATGATGTAGCAAAGATTTGCTTGGTAAGTTGCACACCTGCTCAGCCTTTTGGCGGCGTCGACGCATTGCCTTCCTCGATCTACAGAGTCGACATTGGCAAAGGTAGCTGGGGCGTTACGGTTGGGGCGCTTCACCTTCTTGCTCTTTTTGGGTCTTCTTTGCGACAGCAACAATTCTTTTGGGATATTCGGCTTTCTGCCATCTGCCCGCGGCTTTCGGGGGAATCGCTTGGGCCAGGCTTTGGCGCTGTTGGAAGTTGGGGCGTTTGCATCTGTAGCGTCGGGCTGGAATCCATTGCGCACAGCCTGCGCGGGCTTGAGCAGGTATCTCATCCCAAGGCTCGGAAAGCCGTTCTAAGTTGCGGAGTTCCCATAAGTGAGGAGTTGTATAGCTCAGTCTGTCGTCTATGTTGCTCTCGCGTTGCTTCTCCCATGCTTCGGATAGTCTGCTCATCCAAGCCATGCACCGCCACAAGGCGAGCCCTTGCTACAACCTTCCCGATGGCAGTTTGCGCGGGCCAAATGTCCTCAGGTAGAGTGTAAGGAGTGGGTCAGAGCACACGCCTTTTGCAATGCGTGACGAACAAAACAGAAAATGGGATGAATCAAGGTTGGTTTCTCCACGCTTCGAGGTAGACGTCCCACGTGTAACTCCTGTTACCTCACTGTTGCGCGCGCAATAAGGTCCAGTGATTCCTCCGACAGCAACAGCGCATCCATATCCAGGCAAGTGGATGTGTATTGTATTTGTTGCTTGCTGTTTGGGTACCCAGCGTCTGTAAATAATCCTTACAGTGAGGTCTGGTGTTGGATTGAAAACGGCCCCAGAAGGAACACTTGCAGAACACCACGAAAAGAACCACAACCTTACAGGGCCATTTTCAAGGTTGCGTGGGACCCAAGGCATCTCTTATTTCGACTTGATGCATTTTCTTGCTATCTCTGCAGCCAAGCATGTATCCAGGTTAGGTGCGCTGTTTGGATACACAATGTCTGTAACATCGGGTCCATGCGAAAGAACCACAAGCTCACGAGGCTTTTTTCTATTGGCGATTTTGCTGTGATTGGTCTGCTTGCTATCACTGCATGTGTGACCGGCGCTCAACCAACGAACGCCAGCCCTCCTTGCACTTGGCTCCCAGACTGCGTCTGCTCCTGGCCCAGGAACAGCTACGATCGCACTGCTGACGCTTCAAGAGCTAGGGTGTGCCAAAACTTTCAGGTTTCATTCACTTGTCCTCAATGGAGCGTGTCCTTAAGTTTCTATGAGCTTTCTCTACCTTATATCCGGATCGTGCATGAGCCACGACATATCCAGCTGCGATGGTCTCGATGAATGCTTCACAAATCTCAAAAGGGATACCATTGCCCTCCCCACAATGGAGGGTTTGTGTGTGCGGAAATAGGGAGAGCACAAAATATCCTTACGAGGCTAGTGCATTACCCCAAAAAAGCTTGCCACTAAGTCCTGCGAAGGTTTCCCAGTTTTTGTTGGAGTTTGTATTCCTAAGGATCCAGAATTCCACGAATGCTATGTGAATAGGCAAGGGTTCCACGAATGACCGGACCTTCCACAAAGTTAGTGGAATAGGCTTCTACTAAGCCCTTTCCGTGCACTACCCTCACAGCTAGGGACGCCAGAAACAGGGGCGCCAGAAACATAAAAGTGTAGACTATAGACACTAAAGGACATCCAGGGAAACTTCAAAAATAATGACTCAGAACACACGGAGACTTGAAGACACTTAAACAAGTCTGAGCCAGGACACAAGCAAACACTCAAGACACTCAAGGACACTCAGGGTCATCTATAAGAAGAACTAGACGACGCCCAAGGACGCTCAAGATCACCCAAGAAATAGACCAGACACTCAAGGACACTTCGGGACACTCAACGTCATTCAAAAAAGCCAGACACTCAAGGACGCTCAAGGACACTCAAGGTTATCCAAGATATAGACCAGACACTCAAGGACACTCAAGGACACTCACGGACATCCTTGAGTGTCTTTGAGTGGCTGCCTCGAACTTGGTGGCTTGACTGTCCTTGAGTGTCCCTGAGTGTCCCGTTCAAAATCCTCCCGGATTGCACGTCCCCTCCCTTAAGCCCATTTGATGGCACCATGGTGTTGCGATGCCTTGGTGGGGAGACCACTTATTTTCAGGCCACCTACCAATCTGCGGTCACTGTTTCTTCCATTTTGGATCAAGGTGCATCATCCATCAAACCTGGAAGAAGCATCAGCTCCTGGGAAAACAGCATCGCAGCCTAGCTGCAAAAGATACTCTTGCAGGTGGGGGGGGCAGGACCATGCCGTTTGATGGGTCCAATGGAATCTCATTTTGACACGTCGTGCGGCAGTCGGGTGGGGTAGTCTTCTTGGTGATCCAGGGTTTGGCAGGTGTGGTTTCGCTTCGGCTTCCATTGTCCAGCCGAAACAAGAGCTGCCCTAGGCAGTCGAAGGGCGGCCAGATCGGGCCGATCTGGAAACTGGTCGTGGAAGAGCTTTGACCACAGGGATTGAATGTGATTCCATGGGATCGGTGATGATGAAAGATTGCCCGTTGCTCCAATTCCCAGGTGGTCGATTGACCGGGTGGTGTGTTGGGCTCAAGGCTCGGTTCATCACAATTTGAATGTTGCTTTGACCCTGAATTTTGCATCCCCACATGGATGACCTGGAGCTATAGTGGCTTCACGTGGGAGGCCTTGTGCTTGGGGGATGCTTCAGCGCATGATAACCACCCCTTTCGAGACCCAAGAAGTTCCATGGTTGGGTGGGACGATTGTTCACCGAAGAGGGACGTCCTCCAAGATCTTCCCAGCACATGCCATGCACTTCCATGTTCGATTGAGCTTGTTCGATGCGCTTCCTCCCTTGTTCTGCTGAAGACAAGACGTGGAGAACGCCTGCAGCCTGCCTGGTGGTTTGACTGGTGGTCGACCGCGGACGACGCCTGGTCTCGGACGGCGCGACATCGAGGCTGGGTGGGTTCCTGGAAGTCCCTGAACCCCAGCTGCGAGCACCGCCTTTGGAACGAGCCCTGTCAGCAATGAAGAGCAGTTGGGAATTCTCAGAGACCACATGGTGATGTCAAGGCTATTGATATGTCATGATATCTCATGATATATCCATATATGACAATGATACGTGATGATACGTACGTGCATATATGCATGGAGGATCTAGTTCATGTAGCGAATCACGGGGTCATTTTCCAGAACACGGCCTCTAGCTTGGCGTTCTCAATGCGGCGTTGTTTGCGATCGCTCCATTTACGCGCGGAGAGGACACCGAGATCGCCTTGCTGGCCAAGACGAAGTCACCCAAGGTCATCTGGCCCATTTGGGATGGCCTTACCCCCATTGAGAAGACCGATGTGTTCCGCCCCTCGGCAGGTTTTTGGGATCCGGATACGGATAGATCATGGGTGTGGGGCAGAAAAAATAGGTCCGCAGGAACACTGTGGTGTATGTGGTGTGGGGAATGGTGCAATGATGTGCCTTTTCAACCTCATGTGGCCCTGATGTAGTGTTCTGTATTTGCTTTTCTCGAGCACGACCACTTCTCGCAAACCTGTCAGAATGCCACCAACGACGCCGACGACGTCCATTACATCGACCTGAGGCTACCTGGTCCTCTACGAATACGGTGGCTACTACTCGGACATCGATGTGACATCCATGAAGCCCATCGCAGAATACCCCGTCCCAAAGGAGAGGGTCCCGCAGAGACTTTAAAGGTGCGGCAGTGGGCACATGTAGTATACATTTATTGTATGATATTACCCCGTATGGCGCTTATCACCCAGTAGCATGGGTTTGGTGCTTTGCCCACGGATGCTCATGCCAAGCAGCCCTACTCTCCTGCGCGCAGGATGCCAGTATGATCGTCGGCTATGAATTCGGGCACCGCTTCCCTGAGGATGCGCGCATTGAGCAGCTTGGAGGGGTCCAAGTGGTACAAACAAACTACAAAGCGGTACGATCCCTAAGATACCCTAAAATGGGAAAATGGGTCTCGAAAAGTAGATCACCCCTTATCACCCCTTAACATGTGTTGGACCTGTTCTATGAAGCTCTGGAGGTCCGGACCTCTAAAAGTAATGAAGATGCCAGGTGTTTCGCGAAGTTGACTGCGGTTGTGATCCTCAACCTTTGTGACCGATCTGGTGATTGTGACGACCAGTCAGGTGGTATAATAGATAAGGAGTGTTCATCCGCACATGTGGAGGATTCACGCGTACTGAGTGTGTTCTGAGCTGACATCTTTGGGCTTTTCGTGGATCGGAGTAACTGCGGTGTACCTTTACATGCACCCTAAGCTTTTAGATTGTAGCACTATACAGACTATGTATCACTTTCAGCGTGAAAAGCATGCGAAAATGAAAAGGCCAGAAGCCAAGAGGGGTGAACGTTCCTCGCTAGACAGGGGTTTTGACCTCATCCTCCCAACAGCCGGTCGCTCATCACGGTGATCGTCCTGTCCTGAAGCCGAGGAACACCCTAGCGCGTACGGAGCAGTTTGAGCAGTGGTTCCTGGCTTCTGCACCCAAGAGCCCGATGTTGAAGAGGCAGAGCTGAGACGTCTCCGAATGTCGAAGGTGCTGATGAGAAGGGCTGGGGGTGTTTCAACCTAAGCGGAACTAGCATGACCATGATGTGGAGAAGGGACCTTCCAACAGTTGAAAAACCCGCCGTCGGTGTCTGTGTCCTGTCCGTTCCGCGTGTTTTGCACGGTCCCTGTGTCGCGTGTCGAGCGAGTGGGAGGTTCAGACCATCAGGCCGGACTAGAGGGATTATGTTCATTTTGCTTGGTGGGTTGAAAAACCCTGCAGAAACACATGGATCAGATAAACCCTGCAGAAGTTCTTTTCATTCAGCGTTTGTAGAACGTGGTCAGGAAAGGCTACTTTTTGAGGCTGCTGACTACATGAGATCAACCGAACCGGCACATGAGCTGTATGAATCTAGGCTTCTTCATGGGGCAGCTATGCCCATCCAAAGTCAACAGCAGTGGCCGAACAAACGGCAGGTGTTTGGAGATGATCCGGGAGAAGTTCCGATGGAAGATCCAGAGCAGCTGGACGACGCAGTAGATGGCAGAGTTGCTGTAGATGGAGGAGATAAGAGGGATGACCAAGCAGTGGGCCTTGGTGAGACCCCTGCAAAAGGAAGATGTTGGTGACAATTGTGAGTCATGAACCTGCTTTTTCGCGAGGTTCTTGGCATGGTTTCGAGTTGGGGGATCAATGGTCACCGTTGCAAAAGCGCATCCACGCGTACAATCAGCCACCCACGTTGGGGACTCGCATTGTCAGGGATGACCATCAACACAAGAGTGAGACACTCTGACAGACTCAAAAAGCACCCGGAGATCGAAGATGAACATCATGAACCCCTAAAATAGCCCTACCCATGCCTACCGAACTTCCTTTCTCCCAGCATTCCTGGTCGCCCTTGGGCACCTGCTATTCCCAAAAACTTGACCTCTTCCAGCGACAAGCCCCACTCGCTGGAGCCTCCGAGGTACCTTAGACCTCACTGGCCCTGGAACCTTCAGCGATGCCGTCCACGAGTTCCTGGAAGATCACTCCCCACACGAGGCGGTGCTGAAGGAGATCTCCTTCCGACAGAGCCAGGCGAACTCCTGCAACCGGCCCGGAGCGGTGAGGCTCTCCATTGTGGGATAGAGCGCAGCGCAGAAAAGGGCGAAACAGAGGAGGAACAGGAAAGAGCAACAGGAAAAAAAACATGGAACAACGATGAAAAACACTAGGCCAGCAGGATGCAGAGCAGGTGGGGAAAAAAGGCTAAAACGAATTATACCATAATCAGTACCGTAACCGCAATTTCGAAGCACAGCCGCAGCCACATTGAAGTCATCACACAAAAACCGTCACATTGAAGTCATCACACCAAAAAACGTCGCTGGTTGCAATCGAGCTGTTGGTGACCTCAATCGCTGCGCACCCAGGTGAGTTACCAAAAGGGCTGGCATTACCTGAGCTATCCCTCTGAAAGGATGTATGGGCGGCTTGATGAGGAATAAGAGAGTCCCAAATTGTTAATAGGACATCTACAGGAAACCCGTTTTGGGATTGAAAGCAAGGGTTTTCTGTAGATTGGAAGTGGCTGGAGCCTGGGGAGGGGTCACCCAGTCGCAGAATGTGACAGAAGGGGGAGCGATTGAGTTCTTGGATGTGGGACGTGATCATTAAGATTGAGATCCAAGCTCCACATTCCAAGATTTGAATGTGTGCCAGTCTTGCTCCTGAAAAAAGATGAATGATTAAACGTATGTCTACATGGACCAGTTTCTTTTCTGCGTTGCCGGGGAGCGGGCGACGGTCAAGGGGAGCATGAGCGGGCTCGTTCGTTCGCGAACGAGCGAACGAGCTTAGGACTGGCGATTGGAAGATCTGGCTACTGGCTGCAGGTCGAGTTAATGCGGTCCCGCGGATCAAGGAGCCCGCAATAGGTGGCCGTCCTGGGTGGCGCGTCGTGGAAACACCTCCCAGCGAGTTCCGGAAAACGGCTGCACTGTGTTCCATGGGCGAGTCACTTGGTCACGGAGAATTCGTTCCTACCTGTTTGGCGTTCGTAGTGGCGTTCGTAGGCAGGAAAAGGACTGACTGATCCGTCACTTCGGTCTCAACGATGTTACGATGTTACGGAAGCAGCCCACTGCTGCAGCCTGCAGTCCCCTTGCCCTGAGGAGGAGGATCCAGATGAGGCATTAGAGCCGTTGTTGGTTCATCACTTCATTGGCACTTGGACACTCGTCGCTTTAATTCGGCATTGGCACCATGCGACCGGCTTCGTCTCTTCTTTTTCCCGATCAGCAACTTCATTGGCAGCGCGAAGCAGTCATTCAAGGAACATCCTTGTTTTTTTGGGGGGGGGTTCCCGCCCGTGGGTCCCTACTTGTGATGGAGGGACGTATATGTTTAGAAACAGGTGCAAGATGTGCAAGTTGATTGAATCTGTGCAGCCAGGGAATTTTAGGCTGCTTTTGGTGCAATGGTGGGAAACCGTAGAAACATCCATCCAGAACCCATCCATATCCATCCATTCCCATTAGGTGCCTTGGTCAAAGCATTCACATGGTTCCTGGTGTTCTTGCATCCTGATCAGGTGGGCTAGCAAGACTGGTATATAATCGAAATTAATCGAAGACTTGCCCAGTGGATTGCGACCAGAAACTGGCCCTTTTCCCTGACAGTTCTGGTGTTTAATAACTATAGGCGTTCTGGCTCAGTACTACCGTACTACCGTAGCCCCCATAAGGCCATAAGCACTGTGGCGGGCCCGCCCGGACCGTGGCCAAGGAAGCCAGCACATGGGATTTCCCATCACTAGTGAGTGCTGATGACATGCACCTGCGGCCAGCCTGCGTATGTAGACTCGTGTGGAGTGGTGCATGATTGACAGAGTTGTTAGAAGGAACATGTGGAGAAGTGTCGGCAGGTTTGACACGCCTGTTGAGTGTCACGCTTGTTGCCAGGAAGAGGCACGGGAGGTTGTGAGGTTTGGATATGTTAGCTACGCAGGTTTTTGCGTCATACTGTCATACATACTTGATTCAGTTCAGACGAGAATCAGATAGTAAGCATGAGTCATCACTGCTACTTCAGAATGCGAAGGGCTCCAAAGGAGGGCTTTCGCTTCCAAGATGAGAACAGGTCGAAAAAGGCTTGGGAAGAGTTGGACAAGTGAAGAGCTTTGGGATGCTTGGACAAGGTCTGGTCAAACTATCCAAAGTCTTAAACACCTTGCATCACTCACTAATTCTGAGGCTTGCACACCTTGTTCCATGACAGACAGAGATACACACAAACAAACGGAACGGCGTATATAGTATGCTATAGACGGAAAAAATACTACGCACGGAAGCCTGCAACCTCCCCAAAGCATTGCAAATCGGTAGCTAGTGGTAGCTACAGGATGCTACAGGTTCATTCTTCCTTTAAGCTGTTCTTGGCATCCTCCCTCATTCCGTGCCTCATTCCCTGGGGCATCCAGGAGCAGCACCGGCAGCTCCAGCAGTGAGCCTGGGTGAATGGGTGGACAAACAGACCAGAACAGAACAGAAAGAACAGAGCAGAACAGAGATAGACAGATACATAGTGATAGATTGGATTAGATTTAGATTGTACAGATTAGATTAGATAGATGGGTTGGATCTTCCACGTCCGTCAGTTCGGTTCTCACCTCGGCCTTTTTCATCAAGCGAGGTACTGTGTGGACCTGAGAGCTGCGTCTCAAGAGATCCAAGGCCTGAGACGAGCGACCTGAAGACCGGGCAGAACGAGTAGATAGCGGGGGACATGACGAGTAGTAGCGGAGGTGCACCAGTGGTGCACCAGTGGTGCAGAGTGCAATGGAGTTTCAAAACTCAACATGTTCCGTTTGCTTGGCGCATGAGAGCTTTCTGGGGGAAATCACGGTGGATCAAGAAAGTGTTGTTCACCAGGCCCCAGCTGGTGCTGGATTCCCTAAAGCAAATCATTGATAATCCAAAAAGGTCACCACAACTCATCCAGGGAGACCCCTGATGATTTGCTCCACTCTCCACATGTTTTTCAGCGACGTCTTGCACCGTGTGGCCCTCACCGCATCGTCTCGCCCTGCGCGAGGTTTCTTGGAAGCTGCCGAGGCAGAGAATGTGGAACTCCAACGGGAGGTCATTGAGATGAAGGAGGTGCTGGAGGCGCGTGGGGCCATGGAGTGAGCAACAAACATGAAAACCCAAAGTCCAAACTGGTGCTTAACTAGACTATAATGAATTACTGATTAGACATGATTAGACCATGAATCTAAGACCCTAATGACCCTAGTAGGCACCCTGGCACCCTTTTTGTGAATGTGTTTCTCCTCCTTGCCCAGGGGTTCAGTTCACATTGTGTTTAGAAAACATTAACATATCTTGTGTTTGTTTTTGTGTTTTAAATCTGAATCCTGTGGAAACCTGTCTGGCGACCCTTGCGACCTCACAAAATCACTTGGCTTCTTCGAGGCTCATCACCTCGAGAGGGCGTCGAGAGGGCCTTCGAAGCAGGTGGACTTCCAAGGCTCCGGCGGCGTGGGTATCGTAGCGTTCTGGCTCCTAGTAGTACGGGCAGGAGCTCCTGCCCTAGTAGCGTCCTTGCTCCTAGTAGTCCTCTCCCAAGATCTTCCATGATTGAACCAACATGATTGTGGCACCAGCAATCGTCACTAGCAGCACGACAATAGGCACAAGCTGCTACGGCCGAGCGTCGCTTGGTCTTCCAAGCCCAGCTGGAGAACGTATACGGAATGAAGTACTGTTGCACAACCGCAAAGGGCAGCAAAAACGGGACCTGAACATGGACCAAGTGCGTGTTCCTCTACCAACTCGGCCCTCGGCATGTTATATAGTGAGAAACAAAAGAAAGGTTCCATAAGTCCATGAGAAAAGCAGGTTGGGCTGTGGGGCCCCACCTGTAACAGTCCAAGATCCATTGCTCATACACTGGAATCATCATGGTAGTAGAATATGGATGAAAAGGGCCTCATTGGATGACCATGATTCCAGGGAGTGTAACTTTGGAAGACCCTGCCATCAGAGGTACCAGCCTCGCCGATGAGCTCATCGACCATGCTGATGCTGCCTCCTGGCAGGCAACTGAAGTGGTAGGTGATCCATCGAGGCTTTCACCAGTAATGAAGCTGGGCGGAGGGCCCGGACATGTGCAAGGAAACTTGGGTGTTTTGCCAAGCAAGCTGGTTGGGAAGATTGGCTTTTTCTAGAAGGTGGGTGGGTGGGTGTGGTGGTTTGTCAGTTTGTATGGCTCCAAGACGTTCACCAATGAGCAACAAGACAGACTTCACAGACAGTGGCCGCTTACTTTGGACCCAGTCACTTGACCCCGACCCTGACACACCCTGAGGAAGAGCCCGCATCTTTCTCGGTTCAGAAGACGAAGAGCGTCCACATGGCGGAAGAGGCCCATCGGCAGCACCCTCTTCGGCCCAAAGTCATCCAAAACTCATTTCGGCACTAGTGACGTAAATATCTTAATACCAGTCTGAATACATCTGTCTTAATGTTTCGTTTTTTTTTGGGGGGGGGTGATATATATAGCTGTATATATATATATATTACCTACACTTTGTCTCCCTTTTGCCCCACCACTTAAGCCTCTTCGTCCCGTCGGATCGCTCTGTCTACGTCGGATTGGAGGTGGGCGAGGACGTGCCCAGCCGGAGCCGGCGGAGCATGAAGCCCAAGCTGCGGCGGAGCAGTAGCAGCTTTGTCCAAGCAGGAGCAGTAGCAGATGGGATATAGGACATATGATGACACATCTGAGTATATTTATAGACAGGTGCTGGAGGAAAATTGAGGAAGATGGATAAATCATTAGAAGGGTGGAGAAGAGGCACATAAAGGAATTGATGTTATTTATAAACGATGTTCATCAACCCCAAGGAACAGGGGTATGGCAAACATAGACTTAGTGCAATCACGCTTCCTTGGCAGTCTGGAATTCCAGGTGCCCAAAATCCAAGGAAGGACTCCACAACAAGCCATGCAGAAGTGACACGTTCAGAGGGGTTCTAGAAAAACATCCACAACAAAATCTGGGTCTTCATTTCGGTTCTTTGTGCACAACTTAAATGATTTGGCATTCTCGGAAAAAATTGACCTTTCGGACAAATTCCCCCCCCCGCTGTGCAACCTCAGAATTCATTGCGCCTACCACAACTGACATGGAACCTCAGATGGAACTTGGGAATACGCTTTTCCTCTACAAAACAAGGCGTGGTTTTCAGGTTCCATGTTCATCTTCCAGCGTTTTCTGGCAGAAGCCATCGACCATCACCTGCCGATCCATTTCATGGGACGCTACCCACCGCAGCTCTTGGTCAGCTCGAACACTAGCGAGCTGCGTTACTGACTGGCGGATCAGCTGACATTGCGTTTCCGCCTGATCTTATTTGGCACTCGCCATTATCCGATTCACGCCAAACACGTCTACTACTTCTCCATGCAGCTACTTTTGGGGTCTGGCTACAAAGCGACAGGCTCATCCCTATTTGCATGTTTTTCCATACGAGCCTTGGCTGACTTCAATTGAGCAATTCTGGAAGAGGGTTTGTCATACTTTGCTTGGAAGATGTTTTTTTTTTGAAATGAAAACTACCCAGGGGGCCTCTTTGTTTAGTTCGAGGTATTGGATTTGTCGCCTTCCAAGTGACAATGCTAGTACGGATCGGTTCAGATCTGGCCAGCCTGTGTCGTAGAGTGACTCCTGGCGTTTCCAGGCTTTGACCGCTATGAAAACCGTTTCGGAACATGGGAAGTGGAGGCTCCAAAATGAGGTGTGCTGATCCAGTAGCGGGGTGTCACTGCTTGTGTCAGTCCATCGACGTGAGAGCGTGAAATTCTGATTTGGCGTTGGCAGTCAGTGGCTTGGGCCAGGCAAAGTTTACCAAAAAAGTGACCGAGCCGTCAAGGTGTTTGGCTGAAAGGCTCAAATGCAGTATGACTCAAGTTTTCGATGTTCCGGTCCGGGCAACCCCGAGTAAAGGCTCGGCCGTAGACACCCCAAGTGCCGCTTCCGGCCTTGTGGAAGTGGCATTTAGCTCCTCTCTGACCTCTCTGACTTCTTAATCTTCTTGGATTCACCGCTGATTTGCGGTGACCAAGATCGTTTGAAGCACCAAGGACCAAATGAAGCTTCTCCCCGCCATTGGCTTTCGCTCCTCGCAGTGCTCCTATGGGCGGCCGTTCTCCGCCAGCGCCACGTTGACGCGCTCGATGGACTCGTCGAGGATGGGAGCAGATCCGCCGCCGCGGACGGCGCGACGGAAAGGGGATGAAAGCTGTCTTGAGATCTGTGTACTTTTGTTGGGGGGGGAGGGCGCTGGGGGATGAGTTGTTTGTGTGGATGTATGTAGGAATATGTAGGAATGTGATATAATGTGATGCTTTTGGGGGGCGCGCTGTGGATTCCAATCCCAAAAACCATCTAAAAGGAGGCCTTTTCACTCTGAATGGACCTTCGAGAATTGACTTTGCCAGCGAGGTTGGCAAGCAATGGGGATTCTCCAACCAAGAGGCCTGGGCCCTCCAGCCATCCAACAATCTGAACTTCTACGGAACAAGATGCCAGGGGGGTCAACGTGACGTCTACTGTGCTGCTGTTAGCACCCACCACTGGACATCTCTAGGGTCAACCCCATATGGTTCACTTTGGTTGTGTTGACATCCCCAGATGTTTTCCGCCGTCATGAGGCCCATTTTAGCCTTGTGGAGTGGGCCTGCCGAACCTCCCTCGCATCTCGCATCATCTCATCCCGGCGTGCACCGACCACCAACCAATCAGCCCACATGT